GAAAATAATTATGGAGGCCAGAAAGTTTGCTAACAATTTACAAATGTTTGAGAACAAATACCCATTAAGAAAAACAGCAGTCCCACCCATGGACCCTGAGTGGGATTATAATAGCAATTTCACAGAAGTAGGAGAGACACCATTTCTTAGAGACTCAAGGCAGGCCACCAAAAGGCCATTAATTACTACAAGGTGTCTGCCATTACCTAAGGCCTACTTTCCTAAAAAGTCTGATGGAAGCTCTCATTAAACACACTAATCTAGATCTAGAGTCTTATGACAGACAAGTTATATTAAAGAGTAAATTTTTAACCCAATCAGCTTCTAACATCAGGAAAAAATTACAAAACCTTTTTCAGGGGCCTGGTGTTTCCTTGGATGAAATGGTGACTACAGCCGATGCAGTCTTTTACAATCACAGCCAGGAATGGGAGGTCAGGGCTCAAGAGTGGGGAAAACAGGAGACTAGGCACACCCAAGTTTTAGTGCGCTTGCAGAACATTTACAGTCACATCTTGGAGGCCCTGACTGGCTTGCTGCAAAAGACACTAAGTGTGACTGACATTTGCCTAAATGTGGGGCATTGGGCAAAGAAGTATCCTAATCATAATAAGCCTGCTCAAATGCCCTGCTACCAATGCAAGGCTGCAGCACATTTGGTAGCTCTCTGTTGGGCCAAAGGGCCCTCAAGCCTGAGGCTGCCACTGCCCTGAGATGGTACTCAAGACTGAAGATGCCTACCCCAGTCATCCCCACCTCAAGAGGTCATCATTACTGAACTGGAGCCTATGGTATGCATGGATATGGCAGTTAAGACAATAGCCTTCTTGTTAGATACTCGGGCCACCTACTCTGTCCTTGTCTCCTTCGCCGGACACCTTTCCTCCTAAACTTGCACTGTCCTGGGTATGGCAGGAAAGCCCACCACTAGAAACTTCACCAAAACTTATTTCATTCATTATTTTCTCATGAGTCCCAGAATGCCCAACCCCACTACTTGGAAAAGACCTTCAATTAAAGTGAAAGTGTGTTTAGCAGTAGAGGAACCTATGCTTTTAATTGGTCATGAAATGTGTTCATAAAAGTCAACCTAAGGAATGCTGGCTGCTTACTTTTTGTTTATCATTGAAAATTGAGGTTTTTAAGAGTTAAAAGTTCAGATTAAGTTTGAAAGAAAGTGTACAGTTTTAGTAATAGAAGGCATGGACATAGAAATGCAATTTTAAAGGACAAGGATTGAAAGTAAGTTATTCTGGAACTTCCAGCCAAGATGGGTGCATAGGTAGATACACTTTGCCTCCTTGCATAACTGAAAGAAGGACAATAACACATTTAAAAACAAAAAATAAACATAACTGCCAGAACATTGAACTGTATAGAAGTCCAAAGGAGTTAAAGAAGAAACATTCATTCAGACTGGTAAGAGGGGTAGACACAGGCAGCCAGGGTGGAGAGGATGCCTGGCAAGGCAGTGGCTGCAGGATTGGGAGGGCAAGGTGATTATGAGTGAACCCACATTCATGTGCAGATAAACTGGGAGGAACAACTGGGGAGCAAGACAAACCATGCAACCTGGGGTTTCAGTGTGGTGAAATAAAGCCTTAGAAACTCTGGCTATAAAAATCTGTGGTGGTTGCAACAGCAGGAGAAACTCCCAGCCTCAAAGGAGAGATCATTGGAGAGACCACAGGGTCCTAGAACATACACAAACCCACCTACCCGGGAATCAGCACCAGAATGGCCCAATTGCTTGTGGGTATCAGGGGAAGTAATTGAAAGCTGGCCAAGAGCTGAGCAAGTTGCATTGTTCCCTTCTGCACCCCTCCCCCACATACAGCACCACAATGCAGCAAAGTGAGTTGCCTCACACTGGTGAACACCTATGGCTCTGCCCATTACAACATAACAGGAGTGTTGAGACAAAAAAATATGGCCCAAATGAAAGAACAGATCAAAGCTCCAAAAATAGAACTCATCAATGAGGTAATCAGGATGCTCACAGAAATGGTTGAGTATGGTATCAAAACAGAGGAAAAAGTGAAGGCTAGGCAAAGTGAAATAAAGGAAAATATATAGGGAAGCAACAGTGAAGGGAAGGAAACTGGGACTCAAATCAGTGATTTGGAGCAGGAGGAAGACATAAACACTCAACCAGAAAGGAATGAAGGAACAAGAAATCAAAAAAATGAGGAGAGGCTTAGGGAGCCCAGGGGCAACTTCAAAGTTCCAACATCCTAAGCATAGGGGTGCCAGAGAAGGAGTAGAAGAGCAAGAAATAGAAAACTTATTTGAACCAATAAGGAAGGAGAAATTTTCCAATCTGGCAAAGCAAATCAACTTCCAGGAAACTCAGAGAGTCCCAGAGAAGTTGGTTCCAAGGAAGCACACACCAAGGCATATCATAATTAAGTTACCTGAGATTAAAGATAAGGAGAGAATCTTAAAAGCAGTAAGAGACAAGGGGATAGTTACCTACAGAGAAGTTCCCATAAGACTTTCAGCTGATTTCTCAAAAGAAACTTCACAGGCAAGAAGGGGATGGAAAGAAGTGTTCAAAGTCATGAAAGACAAAGACCTACATCCAAGATGACTCTATCCAGCAAAGCTATCATTTAGAATGGAAGGGCAGATAAAGTGCTTCCCAGATAAGGTCAAATTCAAGGAATTCATCATCACCAAACTGTTATTATATGAAATGTTAAAGGAACTTATCTAAGAAAAAGAAAATCAAAACTATGAACAGTAAAATGATAACAAACTCAAAACTCTCAACAAGTGAACCTAAAGCAAACACAAAAACAAAAACAAACTAAGCAAATAACTAGAACAGGATCAGAATCACAGAAATGGAGGTCACATGGAGGTTTATCAGAAGGGAGTGGGAGCAGGTTAATGGGGGAAAAGGCACAGCGAGGAAGAAGCATGTATGGTAGGTAGAAAATAGACAGGGGAAGGTTAAGAATAGTATGGGAAATATAGAAGCCAAAGAAATTATATGTATGACCCATGGACATGAACTAAGTGGGGTGGGAATGCAGGTGGGGAGAAGGTGCAGGGTGGAGGGGAATAAAGGAGAAAAAAATGAGACAACTGTAATAGCATAATCAATAAAATATATATATTTAAAATATTTAAAAAATAAATAAAATGAGTCCTAAGGGCTTCATAAGAAATGAACTTGTGACTCTAGAGCAAGCACTGAACAGGATTAGGTTTTAGATGGGGTTTATTTTTTGTAAGAAAGCTAAATTAGGATTTTGAAGAATATGATACAGTGAGAAAGTAAGTCACTTAAGATATTGAATGGTACCAAATTCTTTTTTTTTGCATCTAAGGTGATCACTGGATTTTTCTCCTTTAATCTGTTAACATGATTTGTAACATTTTTTTTTCAATATGGAAACAACCTTTCCTTCATACAATAAAACTCTGTAATGATTTTTGTGTCCATTTGCATTTTCCTGAGATTTTTCATTTCTTTTCTGTAGTAGTGGAAGATATCTGCCATTCTCTTTTACTCTTTCCACCTCCTGGAATTCATCATGCATTACCACCCAAGCACTACATTTCACAGCAGAGAATGCTGAGACCAGAGAAAAGGACTCACTGGCAGACTGTGGAGTTCATGGCATAGCTATTGAAATGGGAAACCTTCCATTTCAAGAAAAGCCACAATCTCCTCCATGAACATAGATGTGCAATTCATAAACAAATCATAAGCAAAATACAAAATATAGTACAGAGAAGATGAAAATATTTGTGATACTAAAGTGAATACATACATTGTTTTGAGGTCCAATGACAATGTATATACTTTCAGTTCAAAAATGAATATAGATACTCTAAATTTCCTCACATGGTATTTTGTTATAAGAATAAAGATGAAAATATTTCATTTGAAAATAATTAATAAAAATATGATTTTTTTAGTTATTCATTTCCTCCTTAGTCCCATGTTGTTATGCTATGCATATTTTAGTGCCCAACATGTAACTTATTGGCTAATTATTGTAAGGTCATTCTTATTATCTCAGGACAGTCAAGTCAAAATTGTGTTGAGCTGTGTGTAGTGCAAAGAATGCAAGTCTCACAGTCAAGAGACTGTGTGATAGGCTTGAACTATACCTGGAAGAGGTATGCCTAGGCCCACAGAATCTCAAGGTTTCTCCATGTTGCTTGAGCCTGTCCAAAATAGTTCCTGCTCTCCAGAAATTGGCTATCTATGAAAAAATCAGATATCACCATAGATGATTCTCCTACCAAGTAAATCCTATAAAGTGGTTTAATAGAAGAGGAATGAGGCATGTGAGAAATTTTGCTTTGCATGATTATGTGAAATTCTCTTAAAGAATATGTTTATGGAACTGGACTTTGAATTATGCTTAAGATGTTATAGAACTATTGGAAAGATTCAGAGAAAAGGAAAGACTTCATTAAAATAGCAAAACAAAGTTGAAATGCATTGCACCTTCAAGAAATGATGAGTACACAGACGTTTTGGGTGAAAAGTGATGCACAAGGAATGTGCTAGTAAGATACACAGACAAAATGCATAGTTCCGTTTTGATTCATTGCTGGTGGGAACTCTGGACCTACTAATGGTGCTCCCTTTTGCTCCAGGTCTCACAGACATACATAGTTTTTGCCGCACTGGAACTATTAAAATATTGAACAGAGGATTTTAAGAGTATTTGGAACCATTTCTCACACTTCATAACTTCCATGTAAGGGTTTTTAAATATAAAGTAAATAAAATAACTTCTCAGTACCCACCATCTTTCTTGATATGCTTCTATGTATTTCTTAATTGGTCCCTACAGCATTTGGTGATATGAGTCAATAAAATAGCAGACTTGAATTTCAGTCCCAGCTCCAGAAAAAGACCTCTGTTTGATGTATTAAGTATAAAATTATTTTATCTGTTGAAGAAGACATTAAACATTACTTTAGTGATTACCAAGAGAGGTAACAATGCATCAAATTATTCTGAGATCAAAAACATGCATAAGTCGAAGGTAAATTTACCAACTTAGTGTAATAAAAACAACTTAACCAGATCTCTTATGGTATAACCAGGATTATCTTTTTATCAAGTAAAAGATATTCTTCTTATATGCTCTAAGTGTGTGTATGTATAATTTTGTAATAATGACAAAATCACCTATCTAAGCACTCCCATGTACCAAAGAGTTTGTAGAGTCAATCATTTGCAACCAGGAAATGATGCCTCCGCTCTTCTAGTGACTTTCTAGATTGGTATGTCCGAAGGAGGAGCCATGCGTGGTAATGGCTCTTTTCTTGCCCACTGAATTCATGCTCCCAGCATTCTCCTAGTAGACCACAGGCACCCCGCCCCCCACTTCCCTTCCTTACAATGAGATTAGAAAAGGCGGATGGGCATGGGGTTCATAAAGGCTTTAAGCAATGTATGCTATGAAATGGAACTCAGGGTCTCTCATGGGAAAGACACACATGCACTATGAGAAGCTGTGCTACTGAGGTTCTGTGAACTTTTTATGTATGCAATGTGAGGTTTATTTGCAAGAACTTAAACTTTATGATGTGAAATATCGGTGTGAGCATACTTGTTGTATATGCTAAAGGATGGTCAAAGAATTTTTAAAAAATCATACAGCCAAATAAAAATTCACTCTTCTGAAGCCACTTTACTTCTACTCCATCCCAGGAATGGAAGTATGTCAGAGAGCAAAGCTGTGACTGAAGCCAACACCAGAGTCCAGGAAAATTCCTAAGACCACAGAGATGCCTGAGGGTCAGCAGCCTGTTCAATTCAGGAAGAAGGCTTTTATAGGCACTATGAGAGTTAGCAACTTTATCTGGAAATCTGGACTGAAAAGAAGGAAGGTAGCCAAAAGAAGGCACCCACATCTGACAACCTAGGATGGGATGCGGAGTTCTCCCAAAGAGGGTGCACAACCTGCAACAGCCCCCAGGGTTCTACTGTGGTGTAACAGTGTGGAGAAGTGTGGGTGATCAGGAGGTTCCTCAGGTACATTGCATCTGCAGTAGCAATACCGGAAAAGGTAAAGCGGGGAAGACTTAGGGTTTTTGTAGTAGGCATACTGGGTGAGCAGTTGGATGGACAGTAGCAAAGATTTGTGTCAGCAAAGTCTGTGAAGGAGACATATTAATGAAAACATATACCCAGAAAACCAGTGTGTCAGAGAACCCCACCAGAACCACACAATTCTTTTTTTTCTTTATTTTAATCATTGTTCAAGTACAGTTTTCTCCCTTTTACTCCCAATCCAGCCGACCCACCCAACCCTCCCCACTTCCCTCCCATTACCACCCTCCCCCTAGTTTTTGTCCATATGTCCTTTAAATTTGTTCCTGTAAACCCTTCCCATTCTCCCCTGAAATTCCCTCTTCTCTCCCCTCTAGTCACTGTCAGCCTGTCCTCTATTTCAGTGTCTTTGTTTATATTCTGCTTGTTTCTTTGTTTTGTTGTTTAGGTTTCTGTTGTTTACCCAGAAAAGGGAGCATAGGTTTTGGGGAGGAACAGGTCTCAAAATAAATCTTTAATTTAAATATGGAGTTAATGTGGCTGGCCAGCTCCCTCTGTTATGCACTTCCTGTTCTCTCACACAGAGCTTACCCACTGACATAGCCATGGCCTGATGGGAGCCTGTCTATGTTAGAAAAACAAAACAAAACAAAACAAAACAGTCTTTCCCTTCCAAGTAGGGAAAAAGTAGTTTTCTCTTCTGTGTTTCTCCTTTGCTTTTACACAGAATGCTTCATTTCTGATACTAGGTCACCAAATATGTGTAATATTTTTCCCACACCAAGCAATTCTCTACAGCACCAGCTGGATGTCCTACAATTTAATTCAATTCGAATACTATCTGCCTGGAGTTAGTCTCAGATCCTACAGGTTGAAGGCTCAATCCTACAAGATTGCTTCTGTCCCACTTCAGACACCAGTGGCAAGTAGAAGGTCTCCAGATTACCCACAACTTCTCTCCACCTTGGCTAAAACCTGAATTTTCCATGATCCCCTCTTTGTGTTCAATTAATTTGCTAGAGAGGCTCATGGAACTCAGAGAAACACATTTATTAAAGTATACAGATGAACAGTCAGGTGAAGACGTGCACATAGGAAGAGGTCTGGGAGGGTCCTGTGAGCAGGAGCATCTGTCCTGTGGAGTTGGTGTGCTCACCCTCCCAGTATGTGGGTGTGTCCACCAACCTGGGAACCTCCAAAACCTCATACTTTGGGGATTTCATCAGGAAGGCATGATTGATCATTAGTGATAATTTCAGCCCTTCTCCATTCTCAGGAGGATGGAGACAGGGCTGAAAGTGTCAAGTTTTCATGGCTTGGTCTTTCAGGTGACCAGCCCCCATCCAGGAGCCCACACAGAGTCACCTGATTAAAAGAAAAGACATTCCTGTCACCCAAGAAATTACATGAGTTTTAGGAGCTCTGTGTCAGGAACTGGTGTCCAAAACAAAATATTAGAACTAAAGATGTTCCCAGTGCTCTTATCACTTAAGAAATTATAAGGAGTTCAGGAGCTCTGTGTCTAGGACCAGGGGTATATATTTTCTAATATCTCGCAGAATAATATTGGAAGGTAATTCCTTGCATACCTAAGCTTGATTTTCTAGGTAAAAATGAGACCCACATTCCAGTCATAAGGTAGCCTGAAAATGAAGCAGAAATCAGGGCCCATCCTGCTCCCTATTGATCCTAGTTGTCCAGACTGGGACCCTCTATGCTCCCTAGGTGCCTATGTTGTCCTGACTAAGGGTTGTCATGCCCCATTGACAATTTCATAAAAGGTGAAGAAACTGCAGACAGATAAAAACAGCAATTGATGCTGAACATGTGCTCTTGAGCTGCACATTCACAATAGTCAGCCAAATAAATTCCCTCTTTCTCCTTTAAGTTGTATAAACATTTATGACCAACAGAGAATATACATTATTTTCAAGCCTATATTGTAGTTATTAAGAAAAATTAACCATGTAGTGATTAAAAAGTACAATCCCTAAGTAATCCCCAGTTCCCGTTGTCCAAAGGGATATTCAGTGATGTCACAAGGGAATTACCTACAGGACTCAAAAGTCTCTCTCTGTAAGGTACAGGCAAAACTGGAGGTTCCAGGTCTGCATCGGGCAGGAGAAGGAAAGCAGAGCATACTTTGAAAAAGTGAATAGGTATAGAATGCACTAGGAATAACAGAAAAGACAGCTTGACTAGACTCAAACTCAAGCCTTAGTGGCTCATTCCCAATGTCCACTCCAAAGATCAGAGCCTGAGCTCCACTAACACATTCCTGGCTTCTGAGAGTAGCACACAGGTTTCTAAGCTCTGGAGAATGGAGAATGTCTATTAGGGGCAAAGTAAGAAAAGACAGGGTCAAGAAAAAAAACAAAAGATTTAAAGAAAATGATAAAATGCTTAATTCTTGGATTTGAAAATACTGAATTGGTCTATCAGAATATGCACATGAGGGGTGTGTGTGTGTGTGTGTGTGTGTGTAGAGCATGTCCTATAAGTCTCCGTGAAGCTTCTTCTAACCTCAGAAGTATAAGTGCTACTAACATAAAACATCATTTGCAGGTTTTGTTTGTGCATTTTTATTTATACATATTTTATAATATATCTTTTATTATACATATTTTGGAGAATTTTAAATAATAAATCATTAATTTAAACTTTTGTGTTAGTCATTCTGAATGAAGATGGCAAAGGTTGATGAAAACAATAACAAATTAAAGAGTCAAAATTTAGTAAGTATAAAATAAAGTTCTACCTTTCCATTCATGAAGATAAAAAAGTATGTGGGCAAAAGAAAGTTGAGATTTGCAACAACATGGATGAATCTGGAGGGCATTATACTAAGGTAAATAAACCAGACAGAAAAAGACAAATGCTGCATATTGTCACTTATATGGGAAATCTAAAATAAAAGTGAACTAATAGAATTAAAAGTGACTGCCAGGGGCTGAGATTGGTGGAAATAGCAGGGAGAAACTGGTAACAGGGTACAATCTTTCAGTTACAAGATAAAGACCTGAGGATCTAATGTATATCATGGTGACTTATGGTATCTGAAATTTTCTGAGAGTAAAACTTAAATGTTCTCACAAAAATAAATGAAAGTGAATATGTGAGGTTAAAAAATGCAGTTGAAGACAGAAGGTATTCTGAGAGTATCAATCCCTGTGAAATGGCTAATATTCCTGAGAGGACTACACTATCAAAAGCTACACAATTGAAAGTGGGTGGATTCAAGCAAAAATCTCCAAGAGATACAGGGACCAGGTAATACCTGGCTTCCAAGTAGAATAAACAGAAAATTGATGAAGGTACACAAGGTCCAAGGAGAGTGGAGGGGTAGAGACTGCGAGGCTAGGTGGGGGGAGGGGTAGCAGTTCATCCTCCTCTATTGCCCCCTCTCTGCCCTCAGAAGCCCTTTGTGACAAGACACACATCTGTGATGTTGGCCTAGGCCTCTGCTCTACAAGCCACGCCCAGTGCTCAGTTGCCTGAAGGCAACTGTGCAATTCAATTGATGGAGAAACCTCTCTTTTCTCTGAAAAGCATTCTTGCTACATGGCAGAGCTCCAGCCCTTCCTTGGTGATTGATATCATCTTCGCTATCTCATGTGGACTGTTGCTCTTCCTCCTATTACTCACCTGCTTGGAGAGTGATCCACCCTTACTACCACCTAGGAAACACAGAAACATCAGGAAGGTAAGGAAGCTTGAGTGCAGACCCAAAAGAGATTATCTGTCTTCTATTCTTATTTCCACTTTTCTGAATCACCTAGAGAGACTTCTGAGATGGGAAACAATAGGATGACCATTCTCATGGAAGAATAGAACATCACCCTTCCAGGAACAAGCCAAGCTGGGCAGGGGTTAGAGCAGACAGAAGGATTTCCATCCAAAGATCTCCAATTTGCTGGTTATGGTGAAGGCTCTAAGGCATAGCCCCAAATGCAGTGAGCAATGGCCAAGCACTGGACACTAAGAGCTGGATTTCTGTGTGGGGACAAGCCCAGAGCTCTGGTTCATCAGCCACCTTCCCATGGCAGGTGTCTCAGCTGAGCCTATCCTCTTTTGAGGCTGATCCAGGGCAGTGAGGAGACCCTGAGAGCCTCTGAGCTGGGGTGGGGCTATGGCCTCAGGAAAACAGACTCCTATCTGAGGGAGCTCAGATGGGTCTGTAGGTCTGAGAAAGTGTGTCTTTCTTGAGCAGAGGAAATGTGACAGAAGAAATCCAAGGTCAGTATCATATAGAAAAACTCTTTTTACATTTTCCAAAGAGGAAAAACCAAAAATAATTTTTATCCACTGCAAAAATAAAAGGGGGAGAACCAGAGAGCCCTATTAGTTAAATGTAGAGAGTCATACTGTGTACAAACACTGTGTGTCTGCAGCTTGTCTAAGGAGAGTTTTGTCTTATCTCTCAGCATTCAGTGGAGCCAAGGTGGAGGAGCAGGAAGAAAAGTGGAGCTTTGAAAGGTGAGCTTCTGCACCTGAGAGTTTGCCTCTATTGGTCTTGTCCCTGAGAGACCAGGGCCTGTTTCCCAAGGATGCCAGTGCAGAGCCTGTCTTTCAGGAAACAGAGCTCTCAGGAGGCTCCTGGGAAGGAGGTCAGATCCCAGACACTTCTTAGAATTTGGTTGGGATGAAGCCTTGAAGTACTGGAAATGGGTGTTTCCCTGGCAGGGGTGTCTCAGAAGGGGCATTTTCCTGTCCTCAACTGTGGGGAAGGGGGCTCCACCCACAGGGCCCCCCTGCCCTGGCTGCCACGATTGAGAATAAGTCTACCAAGACATGATCTGCTTGGGGAGGAAAGGTGGCTGATCTCTCAAAGGAGAAGGGCCAACAGCCTATTCCTCAATGGCCTTTTATTGGGTTCATTTACCCAAGAATACAGGTAAAGCTCATTAATCATTGCCAGGAAGTAAGGATCAAACAATAGATAACAAAGAACTCTGAGGGCCTATTTTAAGTCAGGGTCAGATAGCTAAAGAGCTGTAAAACTTTGAGGAACAAAGTTACTTCTTCCTTTGACCCTTATCAGTTAATTGAGAGCATTCTAAACAAAGCAGATTTCACAGGATTTTACATATTCTTTCTTAGGCCTGATTGCCTGGGGAACCCACCCTTTCCAGCACAGGGCTGCACCACCCTCTGTCATTGTCTCAGGCTTAGGTGGAGCAAGGAAAGTAAGGCAGCCAAGAGATTAGGAGATTTTCTCGAAGACAATGAGGACTCAGGCTTTGTCAAAGCTGAGGGGTGAGGGTCCATCACCCCCTTTTGCTGTAGCCCCCAAAGTCCTTCCTTGGGGGCCTCCCATGTGATCATGCCTGTCTTAGATCATTTCCCCCCTTTGGGGAATCTTACCCATCATTGGCTAACTGACCAAATATTGGGGGCCAGGCAGGGTGAAGGAGAAGGGGCAGAAGTGGCGCCCCTGCCAGGGAGATAAGCTTTTGTGTCCTTGCTGGCTTATGGTCCAAGGTTGTTCCTTCAGCATTAGCCTTGGTGGGGCTTACAGCTTCTGATACCAGACAGGGTGGTTCCTAACACTCAACCGATAGTGTCTGACTGGGAAGTGGTACCTACATGTCCAACTGTGGGCACATTGTTTACCTTCTCTCAGATTCATCTGTGAGGTGCCCCCTTTACTTTCTCCCTGACAGGGAAGTTGTGAGGGTCATAGCAGGTAGTGGATATGGAAGCACTTTGTAAATGACAGAGTGCTGCCTGTCACCAGTCTTGCCATTACTGTCAGGGATCATGTGGTCTTTACTCTGATGCTTGGGCTCCAGAGTCCACACTCCCAGGCATCTCCCCTACAGAGCCATTGCACTCAGCCTCCTGTAAGGCTCCCAGACACTTCTTCACCATGTTACCCCATCTCCTGATTTCCAGCCTGCAGAGATTGCCTGCAAGAAATAGAAGAGGCTCGGTGCCTGATTTCTCTCCTGCAAAGGTAAAGAATCTTCCCCTTTTCTCCTGGGAACTCCTCCTTCCCAAACCTATGATGTGATTCCAGAGCTGCAGGCCACCTTGGACTGCCTGGGTATTGCTGACGGGTAGCCATGGAATGAGGGTGTAGCTATAGCCCTGGGACTAGGGGCAGCAGGAGCACTGGGAGATCAGTATGGGGACCATGGAGAACTTTTGAGCCTTAGGTGCCTAACACCCCACCTCCGGCCTACCCATCAGCTCCTGGCTGCAGCTTATGCCTTCATATTCTGCAGCCACCTGGGGAAGTTCTCAGACAATCAGCATTCTTGTCAAAACCCTCCTGGAGAGTTGTGCAAAGCAGCACCCACTGGAGTCCACCAGCCTTACTGTGTGCCTGTGGAAAATGCTGCTCCTGCCATGTCAGCTTCCCCATCTCTCCTGACCGTGTGTACTCTACCTCTGGCCTCCCCCCTGTCAGCAGAACATCAGGACCAACCTGACTTGATGAAAATCCCTCTGAGTACCATTGTAAAGAGCTCACCTCCAGGTAACTCCTTTTTGGCATCTTCCATCCCAGCCATTTCAGGCCTTGGCTGCTCAAGCTATCCCATGAAGTTCTTGTCCTGGTGGTGGGTGACTACCAAGGCCTTATTCTTCCCCACCTCATCACAGCATGAGTCTCAGCAAGAGCACCTGTCCCATCACCCATCTGAGGCCTTATTCTGGGGAGACCCCACAGACAAACAGATAGAGACTGGTAGCCCCTCATTTATCAACCCTGATATCCAGAAGCTGCTGGAGATAGTGATCACCAAGAAGGCAGAACTGAAAGTGTGGAAGGAGAGAGAAAGGGATGTGTCATTGTCAAAACAAAAGGGCTTAGACAACCACCTAAAGTCTTTGGGGAATATATGGACATCACTGGGTGCTAAGCAGGACTCCGCAACCCCCCAACCCTTCTGGAGCATGAAGGACATAAAAGAGCAGGTGCCCAGTCCTCAGCAGTTCTCACATCACCAGCTCTTGGAGGACCATCGACAGCAGAAATGCAGCCAGCTCTTCTGGGGTCTCCCCTCCTTACACAGTGAGTCTCTGGTGGCTACTGCCTGGGTTGCTAGGAGTTCTTACCCACAGCCTCTTTCATTTTTATTCAATGGCATGTGTAACCACTGTCCAGCTCCAATTCAACCTTCAACCTCTTCAGGGCTTTCACGGGCTGCACTTTTGTCTCTCTCTGGGGCCCAACCACAACCTTTGGCTGGAAACTTGCCCCAGTCCCAGACCCCACCTCTGGCTCAAATCCAGTCCCAGACTCATCTCATACGCTCCCACTCAATCCAACCACCTTCTTCTCTGATCCAGATGAGCACTTCTGGGGTATCTTGCCCTACATCCCAGAATAAGGAACAATATTTCATCCCACCTGACATTCAATATCTGGAATTCAAAAGGGAGCGAGCTTTACTTTCTCTGACCAAAAGATCTCAGGAAGTCTTTAGCCAACCTACACCCAACCTTCCCCAGAACAGTAGGGCCTCCCATGGCCACAGAAGAGTTTCTATTCCTCACAAGGACTTTATCAGCAAAAGTCTCCAGAAGCAGCATCTTCAAAAGAGGCTCACCACAAAAAAACAGCATGGTGGCCTGCACTTCAGGGTCCAGGTATCTCTGGAAATGATGCAGGCTCAGAGCCAATTCCCAGGAATGTGTCATGCACAAGACAAGAAGTGGCCCTTCCAGGACTCACAGAAGATGGAGTCTAGGTACCATAGAAGGTCCCATAGGAAGGACCAACGAGGAAAGGACTTTTGCAGAGATCTATGGCAATGTATGAGGAGGATCCCAGAAGTTCTCTCTAGAGACTCGAACACCATCATAGTGAAGGTTCTGAAAGTAAATTCTAAGAAGAAATCAGAAGGGAACTTGAAGCCACAAAAGAGTGGTGTAGGAACTTGCTTATACACAGGCCCAGAAAAGAAACACATAGAAAACATCTTAAAAGCACATTTGGATAGGAAGTTAGAACAGATTGTCAAAGGTTTGATCCCTGCGAGTGTGGGTCGATCTGGGCTTGCTGCCAACCATGTTTTTCTCAAGTGCCACACTCACATGGAAACCAGAAATCAAGTATCCTTGAAGGGTCAGGAATATTACCTAAACACCTCCTGTGAGCTTTCCTTCCTCAGTCCACTCACTCAACAGGTGCTGGAAGCACATATGATAAGGTTTCACGAAAGACATAGGTGGGGCCAGCCCCACCAGGCCTTTGAGCCCACAAATCTAAAGCTACACGAGACACAGTATTTGCCCCTTCCACAAGCCTGCTCCCCCACTTCATCTGTCTATGTATTTGGGGTCCACTTGGAAGACAAGTACACCAAGGTCTTGGGAAAACCTCCTCTGCCCTTTTTAGGAGAAAAGGTGATAACAAAAAAGTCATTGCTCACTCCACTAGGTCCCCTTTCCACTACCTCACCTGTGTCTAAGGAAATTCAGAAGACCCTGGAAGAGATGCCCTCTGGTGATGGCCATGGGCTGTCAGAGACCCCTCTGAATAGTCAGGAAGGCAGGCCACCTCCTCATTCCCTCACACTCAGCCTCATGGGAAAAATATGGCAAATTGGGACTGTCACGGGCATTGAAAAAAGAAGCCTGATACCAAATCCAAGTTCAGCAGTAGCCAGAAATGAGCCAAGAGAGGGGAGAAGGGCAATAGTGGAGATGAACTTAGGGTCCCAATCTTCAAGGGCTGAAGAGGCCAGGGAGACATTGGAGGCTGAGGAGACCCCTGCTCGGAAAGTCACTGTGGGACCCAGTGTACTGGCCAATTCCCAAACCACTAATATGGGTATGAGGAGATCAGAGTCTCTAGTGCCTGATAAAAGTTCCTCACTACCTACAAAGTCAGTGGCCCAAGATCTACAAGAGCCAAGCCTTAAAAAAAACATTGCTAATAAGTTTGAGCTTCAAGGAAAGGTAGAGTCAGAGAACCAGCTTCAAGCCCTTGCTGCCAGCTTACTCCTTCAAGACTGTCACACTGATGTCATCTTTCAAGACAATACAACTGGCATGTGTCTCCAAGACAGTGCCACCAATGTGCTCCTCCAAGACTTTCACAATGATGTACTTCTCGCTGCAGACATTATGGCTTCTCATGGGTCACTTAGGGAAAATACAAGTGGGGACATGCTGGTTGCACAGGTGCCATATGACCTCATATTGAGTGAACAGAGCAGCCAGGGGCAGCAAGAGCCCGGGATACCAAAACTTAAGGACCCATTTCTAAGCCAAAGCAAAATGTTTCTCCCCATTGATGGGAGGGAGAATGATAGGAGACCCAACCAAAGAGAACAAAATGAAGGGTTGGAAGAACCAAGGAATTCACAAGCCAGTAGGATGAGCAACCCTCCCCAGGTCAGGGGGATGGGAGACACCCTCGGGAGTAAATACTTCCAACTCCTGCCAGAGAAAACACAGGTTTTTCTGGAAAACCACTTCAGAAAAAGGCACTCTCCACAGTATCTTAACCCCAATAAAAAGGGCAAAGGATCAGAAGAACCTCTTCGAAAAGGCCAACCTGTCTTAACCATTTCCCAGAACCAAGAACCAGTTAAAAGCAGACCAGTTCTGGACAATGCACCTGTTGAAGCTCAGGTGATAGTGAGAGCAGTTGGACAAATCCTGGTGGAGAAATTAGGACTTCACCAAGGACTTCATGCCAAGGAGTTAAATCAACACAAACAACAACTTCAGGCCCCAGTAGGTGAGTGTTCCTGCTACCTCAAGTTTCTCTCCTCTTCAAAGCAAAGAAGAGTGAGGAAAGATAGATATGGCCTACAGTCACCAAGCTACCCCCAAGGGCCACAACTGCTCTAATAAGAGTGGGTAGACCAGAGACAGGGATGGCAAATTGGCCTTTCCACCCAGGGAACCAGCATCCCCAAGGTTCATCCTATTACAAAGTTTATTGTTTCACAAAATATACAATTTTTTTCTCATGAGAGTTGGTGGCCTCTGTCTGTGTACTCCAGGTAGAAGAGAAGGGATTTGGGTTCACTGTCCCAAGAGCCTTCTTTGGCTCCCAGAAGGAATGGTGCCATGGAGGGAGGTTTACCGCAGTGAGGCACATTTACTCAATGTACCTTTTTCCATAATTCATAGTTACATAGACAAACAAAAGCATTTAGGAGATTTCAAGATGAGCAAAACTGTAAGATCTGGCTCAGCCCATCCTCTCCTGCTTTCTGTCTACCTTGAACTTTAGGGCTGTAGTGGAAGGGTTTGCAGAGGCTGAATCCCTCAGTTTATATGAAGTTTCACAGAGTGGGGAGGGGGCCTTGGCAGCAGTGTTGGTCCTGAGTCCAGAGGTGGGAGAGATCTTTCCCTGGATCATTGGTGGGAATGGCTGGCACCTGCCTGGGAGCCCTTCTCTCCCTTGTGAAGCTGAGATGGACATGGACCAGCCAACCCCTGTGAACTCTGTGCTCAGTGTCCTGTCCCTCTGCCTTTCTCTCTGGAGCAGCAGCAAGGACTAGGGCAATACTCCCAGCTCTGAGCGTATGCAGGTGGGGGGCACAGAGGCTGCTAAGGACCCTACACCTGCCCACCAGGGAGAAAGGATGGCCTGCCCAAGGGCACCCATAGTTCCCTTTTAGGGAGGGGAGCAGGATGTGACTGTGCATGCAGTCACTATGTGACAATGGGACTCTGTGCACCCAGGATGATATGAAGGGGAAGGAAGTAAAGTGACACAGCATGCCCATAAATTGTGCAGTGACCAAGGGGCTCTTGGTATCCCACTGTCATCTACAAACCCAGAGGGGAGGAGAATTTAGGGGTCCATTGGCTCAGGGTGTCCACCCCCTTTGAGTTCCCAGAGTCAAGGTGAGGGGAGCCACCTGTGGTTACTACTCAGAAGGCCAGCCTCACAGAAGTAGCAGAGTCTTCAAGCAGGGAAGGTTGATCTTTCCATAATATATTTCATCAGCTTGTATAGAACTGGGGACTATGGAACACAATTCTGACCTTAACTTATAGGTGTGGCCCATGGGGGACCAGCACTGGGGTGAAGGGACAGAGTGGGCACAGGACTCCTCGTACTTTGAGTTCTCTCTGGAGACAGGTCCTGCCTTTGGGCCCTGATCCAGAGCTGCCTCCAAGGTGGACACAGCAGTGACAGTGCAGCCAGGACCTGTGGGAGAGGTGGAAACCAGGGAAGAGAGTGCCATGGGCCCTCAGGAGCTCAGAAGGGTGTGGCACAAGGTGGGGACCCTGAGTCTGGCTACTGCTTGGTCCTCATAGGGGATGATGAGATCAGTTCTGGGAGTGGGCAGAACTGAGTGGACTCCATGATCTTATCAGGACAAGTGCCACAGACAGATGGGTATGCTGATGAAACATCAAGAAACAGGAAGGAGCAAGTCCCTTTGCCCTTCCCCTACCTTAAGGTGAAGTAGGGCCAGTCATGGAGGTCCCCACACTGAGAGCCCTGCACAGAGATGACACAGAGATACTGCTCACTGGGACTTGTGACAGAGAGGATGCACAGACACCCCCACTAAGAACCCTGACAGAGAGACCCACACAGAGCCTTGTGACAGAGACCTGTGTCAGAGACCCACACAGAGACTTCACACAATGATTTACATAGAGAGACTATAACAGGGTGTAGCCAAGAGGGGGCCCCAAATAGGGATTTGTAATGGGGTCCAGAACTCAAGATGTCCAGGAAATATTACAAAGTATATATATAGGATATCCTTACCCCCACAATTCTGAGCTGGGGGATGGGACACATGGATCAGGGTCATTCAGAGCTGTTTTATATAGCAACAGCTTTGCAGCTAACCTCTGGCATGGTCATTTAACATATCTATAACCTTTAACTGGTTTTGTAGATATGTTAAATAGCTGTGGCTATGCCTTGAGCCAGGGGGATGGAAATGACTTCCACCTAAGATGTAATTAGGAGGCAACTCCCTCTGGTTACAGCACCTGTGTGAGAGCTTGGAGATAACTGGCTCCATGCCATGGGACCATACCTGCCCAGACTTACTATGGCAGCTCAGTAAAGCTGGAAGAATGCGGGAATGCTGGCAGGTGTAACTGATTGTCGGAGGAGTCAGAAATGGAGCTGCAGAGGAAAACTGGTGCTGGGATTTAAACCCAGGTGTGGCAGCCATGCCAAGGGGTGACCACACGGCTTTGGTGGAGTGGAGACCCCAAAGCTTGGGCAAGAGTCAGCACCACATGGCTTTGGGTTGCTCCTTTTTGCCATGCATCTTAGGAAGCAGGAGAGACTTTCCCTGGAAGAAAAGGGGTGAAAGGACTCTTGCTGGTGGGCCATGAGAAGGTGCCATATGGCTTTGGATTAACTGGAGATCATGGTGGTGACACAGTGGATGGTGCCAGGAGCCTGAATCATGGACTTCTACTTCTTTTCCTGAGATATGGTATCCCGAACTGGGCAAAGGGGAGAAAGAAGGACTGTGTGCATTTGTGGGTATTCTAAAGAACTTCAGTATTTTAATGAAGACATTAAATCATTACTCTAAGCCTGTATAGCTTTTCAATAAATAATTCCTCTCATTTTCACCAATCTCTGGCATTGACAGACATCTTTCCTCTGGCGGTGGGCAAAGCAAACCTAGTGGGGGGGACCCCCAGAGAAAAAGGGGGGTCCTTTCGGTAATAGTATATCATACTCCCCACCTTGGGTCTGTTATGTAACAAGACCTCACACAGAGACCTGTGTAGAGAGTCTTCTGACAGAGACCAACACTGAGAAATCTCCCACAAAGACCTCTCTTTGAGACACACAAACAAACTCACAGATACCTCAGACACTCTGCAGGAGCCCATGCTGTTAGAATAGGTACCTAGCTAGTTATTAATAAAGGAAGGGAGAAAATGGAACTAGACGTTAAGCCTAATCTACTAGAGAGCTGAATCAGACATTAAGCCTGATTCACTAGGATGCCACAGCATTCAGAGGGGACAGCTGCATCCTCCACTGAGGGGACTTAATTCCTGAGAGAGGAGGAGGAATCGGGTGCCCAGTCTCCCCATGGGGCAAACAGTCATTAACTGGGATTACCGAGGGAGGGATAAAACTGCAAATGAAATTCATCTGCTAGGCACATGCACAGTAGAAACCAGATGATGCAGCAGAACTTTTGGGAATGTACTATAGAAGCCAAAATGGTGACCACACTTTAACAGGAACCTAAACAACAAAACAAGCAAGCAAAATATAAGCAAAGGCACTGAAATAGAGAACAGGCTGACCAGAGGAGACAGGGGAGGGAATTTCAGGGGAACTTAAGGGAAAAAGGGAAGGGTTTATAGGAACAAGTATAAAGGACACATGGACAAAAGCTATGGGGGGGTGGAAATGGGAGGGAGGTAGGGAGGGCTGGGTGGGTGGGCTGGGATGGGAGTAAAAGACAGAAAACTGTACTTGAACAACAATTAAAATAAAATGAAACGAAATAAATTAATTTTAAAAAATGGTGACCACAAAGGGGAAGGGTCTAGCCTGAAAAAATCTGGGAAAAGGATCAAATAGGATAAGGGCACAAAACCCCAGAAGATCCAGGAAATGGAATGCTTAGGGGCAGACCCAAAACAAGCCTGTGAAGAATTAGAAAAGAGATTGGTCAGTTTGAAAGAAAACCTGCTTTCTTCCAAGACTGAGGTAATATAATCGAAGCTTAACAAAGGCCTCTCTCGGTAACATTGCTCCATAGCAGCTGCATGGTTCCAAGCACAGGCTCAATCAAGGGCCTGGCTGCAGCAGCTCAGTGCCAGCCAGAGGACAGCCAAGAGCAGAGACTATGAGGAAGGACCCCACAAAAAAACACCCAACAACAGTGGAATTTACTTATAAAAATTATGCATTTATTCTTATATGTTTAAACTTCAGTCACCTTCAAAGTATTCTGCATTTGATGCAATAGACCTATCAAGACATTTTTTTCCATTACTCAAAAACAGTTTTTGAGCTCATTGATTTTGATACCTTTTAGTGCTTCTGCCATTTTTTGTTTCACCTCTTCCACATCAGCAAAACTTTTTCTTTGAGGACTTTTTTCATCTGGGAAAACACAAAAGGAAAGTCGCTTGGGGTGAGATTGGGTGAATAGGGAGGGTGGGGGTCATGTCATTTTTGGTCGAAAACTGCTGAACACTCAGCATGGTGTTGGCAGGTGTGCTCATAAATAACCCATCATGAAATGGGCATACACATTTAAAGTCTTCCAAAAAAATTCACTGAAGCCAAATGTAGCCTCTCACAATAATGCCAGTTGGTACACTGACACAGGTGTGTTCCTAGAACACTCACCTAGTGGGGGAAACCTGTACAACAAGAAATCCTGCCCTCCAAAAGATAATTCTAGGGTATTTTGGTTCCTCCCTTGTATACTGGGCTACTGGAACCCAAGGTGATGGCATTTCAGTTCTGGTTTCTGACCCTCCTGGTGGGCACTTATGCTCACCAGGTCAAGGATTTGGTCAGATGGAGCTAAGCCACCTGTTTATGAATGAGACACTGGGCACCTATGGACAGTCTTTCATTTTCACTCCAAAAAATCTTACTACTACATCTCATCCTCCAGTGTGTGGGTCCCAAAATGCCTTTTTACGACTTCATGGAAGAACCGTATTTCCACTGGCAACAAAGTCACTTAGAAAACTGAACGCACAAGAGGAGAATCAGTGACTCTGCCCCACTGAGAATCCTGAGATACTCAGAAATTGCCAGCATGGGCAAATGGGGCTCTCTACTTGGAGAAATGGTGAATTTTTGTCTTTTTGTGACATCATTGTCTCTTAACAGAAGATTTACAGATGTAGGTAGACCTCCAAAATTCTTT